GGGGGGGGGCACGGTATGTGCCTCACAGCGCCGCCTGCAGGATCGTCCAGGGCTTAACACTGAAATCCTCACCGAAGAGTAAAAGCTGCTTTCTGCGGGTGTATAGGCAAAAAGTGCGCTGCACGGGCTCTGATCCAAGGCAACGCAGAGTGCAGGGGGTCCCTGGTAGCCCCAGCCGCCCCCCCGCTAGAGAGCTTCCCCCTCGGTTAGGCGTAGCCTTTGCCTTTCTTTTCAAAAGTCTCTGTGCTGGGTCCAGGTGTCTCTCCCAGACCTCTCTTGCGGAGGTCAGGCGGGAACCCCCGAAACCCAGCGTTCTTACACTTTGCGCGCTTGTGCGCTCACAGGTGCCAGGGACCGGGTTAGAAACTAAAGGACAGGGCAGCGGCTGTCCCCAAAGAACTCCCTGTAACTTACAAAGCCTTGCACTGCGCAGTGAAAACAACCAGCGAATAATCGTTTCTCTACCCCCGGAAAACAAACAAACCACCGTCGGGTGCAGCAGGTTCAAACTCTACAATATTTGCCCTCGGTCCTGTTATGGATTCGTTCTTTACCAATCTAGAGGGGAGCCAACCACCATGCCCACTTGGAGCAACAGCTCACCTTGTCCAGGTGTAACATTCTAGCAGCGGCTTCTTTCTTTGGATGAGCAACAGCAACCTCTGCGCCTCGCTTGGAATCGTTTCTCTCCCCGCGGTAGCTAGCCAGCTGCCCTCCTGCTGGGTAACTGCCATGGCTCCTTGCCCCGTGGCTATTTTAATAGAAAGTGGGTGTGGTATACTTCATATGAAATGGTCTCTTTTCCCGCGAAACTGATAGCAAAGAAAACCACAGCTCAGAATAGCAACTGACCATGGAAAAGGGGGTGAGTCACCATTTCCCTGGCCCGGATTAAATCCGTTCTCATGAAACACTCCCATCTCTGTATCCCTTCTATGTCTTTTCTTTCACTTTATGCATCTGATGAAATATGTCATTTCTCATGAAACACTCCCATCTCTGTATCCCTTCTATGTCTTTTCTTTCACTTTATGCATCTGATGAAATATGTCATAACTCATGAAAGCTTATGCCGTAATAAAATTGTCAGTCTGTAAGGTGCCACCGGACTCCTTGTTGTTTTCATTTAATGGAAAGGAGGACAATACCCATTAGCCATTACTGTCAGAAATGAGCAGAAGGAAGAAGCAGAAGTGCTCACTACAGCCTTAATTCACTAGTATAGGTTTGGGCATTAGTAGAATCCTGCAAATCTGTGGATATCTGCTTTATATCCATAGGTATCCACGTCTGCGGATGTGACTATCCACATTTCATTTTTGTGGATGTGGTTGCAGATACAAATTTTGTATCTAGAATCCTGTAAATTTGCAGATGTCTACTTTATATCTGTGGGTATCCTGGGGTATGGGGAGAGAGGAGGATATGCATCCCCTGCCTCCCTAGCCCTGGAGCATTGGAAGAGAGCATGCGGCTCCAGCCTTCCCGCCCCCAGAACATGGGGAAGGCTGGCACTGGGGGCAACAACACTCTGCCCCCAGAACACCTACAGCAGGAGTTCTGGAGGCAGAGTGGGCAGTACCAAGCTGGCTGTTTGGGAAGGAAGAGCCTTCCCCTGCCTAGCATATGCCCATGAATAAGGCCACTACAAAGAAAGTGAGAAAATCACTACACTTCCTTATAAAACAAAAACTCGAGCCTTCCTTTCATGAAATATATGTACACTATTTCCCTTCTGTTCTTGAAGCAGACCTAGAAAATCCTACATGAAATGTAGGGGTTTCATTGTGCGTTAGCTGACCCATTGAGAAACACAGGGGTTGGTTTTGTTTTTTCCTCCAACCATGCATATTCTAACACTGCTGATGTCTTAAGAGAAGACAGACTAGCCAGCCAATGCATCTGGGAAGTATTCAAACAGCAGAGAGATATAAAGCAGTGCCTGGGCACAGCCATGCTGCAGGAGCAATTCATCAGGAACATTATGCCAAAGACTGGCCTTCACTTGTATTTATACAAAATTTTGTTTTGTTTAGCTTCACCAATAACTATCTGAAAACACTTAAACGCACTTCAACCCAGTCTCTTCGCAGGCTGCAGCTTTCTAGTGCTAATCCTGGGTTTCAGGAAGGCATTTCACAAATGGTGCAAAGTATTGCATGTAATAAATTAAAACCCACTGTCATGGCAATAGGAACGAAGTGCTGAGCTGTTACCCTCCTCCTCCCTTCTCTCCTTCTTGGGTGCATCAGGCACTTGCTCTTCAATAACCAGATGAAGTCACGTTTGTAAATGTAGGTGGAGCCATTTGCCATCATCTCCTTCAATCCCCACCCTCGCCCTCCAAAACCTGTCCAGAAAGCTCTCTGAACTGGGAGGGGCAGATGTGGGTGGAGTTAAGACATGTCCTTTCACTCCCCATTCAGAACCATGATTTAAGAGCCAATTTGGTCATAACTCTAGCCTAACTCAACTGTGGAAACTACCATCAGGGGACTGTCCCAGGCATACTACAGTCTAGTGGTGTACACAAGCAGCTGCTAGCAAATAGGCTAAGCTAACAAATCAGAAACAGAGGGCTACCTAGTTGCCCTTCCTTCCTCCATTGTCTTCTTGCCAAGTGTTCAGTATGGTGCTGATGGAAGTGGTGCTCTGATGGCCACTCAGCCTGCTAGCATCTCAGGGTTCTCTTGAGTCCTATGGGGACTCTGAGTGCAGGAGGCCAGTCTCTGGCAATGATTTACATAACCACATGTTGCCACATTGAAAATAGAGAGAGGAGAGGATTGCAACATTTTTTAAGGAGGGAGGAATGGTTGAAAACAAATGTCAATGAACAGGATTGTGAATGGCTGTAGCTTGCACACAAACCAGTTCGTAGGATGCCAGCACAGATAAGGGAATTAAATGGTGATGATTTCACGCAGCATCACATGTTGACCAAACCTAGAGCTAGTTGACACAGTGATAACCTCTCCTCCCATGTGAGTGTTTCTATTCATACACTTTTGCCAGGGCTAGCACCCAGCAGAAACACTGCAGTGAACCTTTACCTCATCCTTCCCTGAATATGCCAATTGGATTGACAAACTCAAGGTATATTGGTTCAAATTCAGCCATGCTATAAGCAGGTCTAATTCCTCTGAGGCCAATAAAATGGCACCTGCTTACCTTCAGGTTGAATTCAACCCATTTCATCCTAATTATGTGAATTCCATTTGGTAGCAGTATTGCAGTGCAAAGACAGTCTTGGATGAAGCATGAGGTGGGGAGGGGAAATCACATGACTGATGGAGTAGGAGTAGGAGTGCTAGCATAGAATGGTCATCAGGGCATCATCATGCCAAAGCAGCTCCAGATGATACAGTAAAATGTCTGCAGTCATTGTACATTTGTACTTCAGCCTTTCCTAGCACTGGAGGTGCTACAGTGGTACTAGACCAAAGGCAGGGTTGAGAAGGCTGGATATGGACACTTACATAATAAACATACATAATAAAATGTCCTCAGAGGTAGTTACTCTTTACTTGCAGGAAGGGAATAAAACTTTTTTTAATTTATGTTCCCAGATTTTATCTTATTTTACATATGAAAGGTCTTTATCACTTTCAAAGAGATATTTAATAAACAGTATTCCTTTGTCTTTCCATGTGCATTAATCAACGTGTGATTTCCTATTTCCAAGGTTGAACTGAACCCTGTGGGGATTTTATAAGCCAGTAGAAATGTGCTATAACAGTTTTTGGCATTTTCCATGTCATAACCTCTTAGCAATCCCCTGTGCATCTTGCCAGTGATTAACATTTGCAATGAAGTTAGTTTTCAGGATAAAATCTTGCTGGTCTTATTCCTGTGGGAATATCTACTGAAGTTTGTGGAATTGCTCTCGTCTTAAGGTCAGCAGGATTTGGGAATTTTTTTGTCTTTACACATCTAAATGAAGCTGTGATATTTCTAGCATATTAAGTGCCAACTTTGTCATTAGCAGTAACTAATGTGACACACAAGGAGAGTCATAGGAAAGAGGCTGAGAGGCTTGGGCAGGGGGCTGGACTTGATGACCTCCTGAGGTCTCTTCCAGCTCTATGATTCTAGGCTAGTGATATATACAGAGACAATATAGTTTGTGAGGTAGCAGCCTGGCTGGGCCTACATTCAAAAGCCTGTGACGTTACAAGAAATCAGGTCTCTCTTGAAACCCACCCTCTTTCTCAAGTTCCACTGATGCTAAAATTTCCTCAAAATACACTAATATGTTAGCTGCTGATCACTTCTGATACTCCTGGATTTTATGTATTGAAATACCATCCAAGCTGCTTATTTTTTCTGGCGCCTGAAAATATATGTAAACAATATGGAATATATCACTGCTTATATTTCCTAAAAGCAGAGTTTAATGAAAGTTTGCACTGGTGTAGAATCTGAGGATACCAAAGCACTTAAATTAATTAATTCAGCCTCCAAACAGCACAGGAAGGTGGGTAAGAATTAATGGCACACATCTTCAGCAGATGTAGTGCACCAGAGCTCTACCAAGAGAATCAATGCATCTGTATCAGTTCACAACTCACTGAGGAGATGATCCATTATCTTGATATGACAGATGAGGGAAAGTGAGGGATAAAAAGGTTAACTTGTGACTTACCTAATTTCAAGCGGGAAGTCCATCACAGAGTTAAGAATAGAATGCAGATCCAAATACCTATGTCTTAATGTCGAATCATCCGTATCCTTTGTATGAATAAAGCCATTTTTATACAAGGAATGAA